TGTGACTGGTTACCACCGTAAATTTTGTCACATGTGGTGGAGACTCTCACAAATTTGCAGGGCAAACAGGTGAAAATTGTTGGGGACAGCAATTGCCAGGCTGCTCATTCTCGTTAATTCTCCAGACACCAAGCTTTGAAAAATCTTTCAAATTAGCTGTAGATGCTAGTGACATGGTACTGGCGCTGTCCTGTTGCAGGAAGATGCATCAGGCTTTGATCATCCTGTTTGTTATAATTCACGAAAAAAAATTAACTTCTGAGAAATTATTCCACCATTGAAATAGAAACCCTTGCTCTATTGTCAGCTTTGCATCAATTTGAAGTGTACTTGGGTACTACTTTGTTTCCTATCAAGTGTACACTTATCACAATCCACTGAGTTTCTTCATAAAATGAGCGAGTGTGTGATTTTGCGCTTCTTTTAGCAATATTCCAGCAAAAATACGGCGTGGGACACCAGAAATGGGCTTCACATATAATGACATTGTACCCATGTCGGGAATCGAACCCGAGTCTTGGCGTGACAAGCGATGATTTAACCACTTGGCTACCCGACCGCCCCCTCCATAAAATGAACAAAAACCAACGTTTGATGCGCTGAAACCTGTCTTTGCAAGAATGTGATTTAGACATCAAGCATATGAAAGGCAAAGACAGCGTTATTGCTGATGCATTCTTACGAGTTGGTTAAAATCTGAGTGAGTGTACACTTTACGTTACATCGGCAATATTTCAGCCAAATTATGACGAGACAAAAGTATTAATTAACAATACATATTCTTAGTGTGTATAAAATCCTGTCATTGAGGGATAGTAGAATCTAGATTATCACAGATTGTATTTAAAACGAGTTTGATAGCATTAAAAGAATAAACAATCAAATTACAGTACAATCTAAAACAGAGCCATTATCCAAAGTTAGGTCACCATACTGGGGACCGTGGGGACTTACGATCATACATTTTCGTAGATTAATTCATGGTATACTACGAATGCGCACCAATAATGGAAAAGGTAAGCATATCAATATTTAAATGTATTTCATGAAAGTGTTTTTGTCGCTTGTACTGGGGCAATACGTATGGTGTTTTTTTAATATCTTTGACCTATATTGAGTATTTATATAAACATTTATCTGACCTTGGTTCTCTGACCTTCAACACTCTGAAAATATACTGAACAACAAAAGTTCCTGTGACATTGAATAAGATTTAATGCAAAGTTATGTTTTTTACCAAATCTGAAAATTTCGTTTTGCAACAGATAAAAGACGCCTGTAAACGTTCAATTGGTTTAATTTGCCATACTAACTTCAGTAAATGCGTCATTTCATTAAAAAAAAACATGAACATGCCAAAATCTCGATTTACAAATCAATAGCGTGTGTTTCCAACTCTGGTTGCGATGCAAGCAACACATCTTCGTCTCATGGAATGGACCAGGCGTCGCACAAAGTCCTGTTGGATATGTCTCCATATCTGCTGGAGCATGTTTCGAGGTTCCTGGAGGATATGTGGAACACGTGGTTGACGTCGAAGGCGCTGATCCATCTCTTCCCACATGTACACGATTGGTGAGATATCAGGGGAGCGAGCCGGCCAGGGGATAACATTCACGTTGTTTTGTTGAAGAGAATCATCAACAAGTCGGGCAATATGAGGCCGGGCGTTGTCATGTTGAAAGGTAATGCCTGGGCCATGACTACGCAGAAACGGTAGAACAGAACAGGGCCGATGATCTCGTCGCGGTAGCGATGTCCATTGAGATTTCCCTCTACCACTATCAAACGGGTCCTCTGTCTTGCTGTAATCCCATCCCATACCATAACGCTGCCGCCCCCGAACCAATCTTCTTTCATGACACAATGATTGACGTAACGTTCACCTCGACGTCGGTACACTCGAATCCGTCCATCGATGTGGCTTAGGTGAAAACGAGAATCGTCAGTGAATAGAACTTGTCCCCACTGCATGGCCGTCCAGCGTAGATGCTGTCTGCACCACTGTAGACGTACTTGGCGGTGGTTTCCTGTCAAAATGGGACGTCTGGCGGGTCTTCTGGCGACAATCCCTGCACATCTGAGGCGACGACGTACGGTTTGTGAAGATATTCGTCGAAGGCCAGGGATGATTCTTGCAGTCACTGTTGCTGGCTGGAATCGATTTCGTAGGTGTGTTGTTCGAATCCAGTTGTCTTGTCGAGTATTGGTTACGCGTGGCCTGCCACTCCGAGGATGGTCTCCGGCTGCATTCGTTTGTTGCCAACGTTGCCATAAACACCAAATGGTGTTTCTGTGGACGTTAAATTGTCTTGCAACATCACGTTGACTCTATCCAATGGCTCGCAGACGCTCATTTTCGGACAGGCGTGGCATTTCGTAATGTTGAATAATTGCGTAATTTTGTTGTTTTTCTGAGTGGTTGTTGTCAGCACGATGCTAAACAATGCATATGGAATCCCGTTTACGCACATGTTTTATACCCACTCTTGGGTAGTGAAATGCATGGGGCTTGCATAAAAGTTAACTTTTGCATGGAATGCATGCTTTTCTGTAGCAGTTGCGTTTTTGTGACTTGATTCCATACATGTACTACAATATTGAAAACCAAACTTTACTTGTTTGAAAAATAAACTAAAATATTGGGGTCACAGGAACATTTTTTTGTTGAGTATACGTTTGTCAACATTTCTCTGGTAAAATCTGTCCCTGGCGAGGTTGAAAAACTAGTTTGTTTCTCCTTTTCCCAGAATATGTTGCTCTAAATTTGCCACAGATCAAGGTCACCACGGTTCGAGTGTTATATCAAAATAACTAACCTCCACTTTTAGAGAAGAACACCAGAATTATATAAATACACAAATGATTCGAGACACCATCTTGATTTTGAGGAGTTCCTGAGGTAAAACTCCTGCTCCTCTTTACTGATGTTTGTTACAGGGCTTGTCACAATTAGGTCGCCATGCAAGGTGAACAGTTCGTGTTCTGTGGTGCCTCACTCTCACTGCTATGGTGGCAGATGTCGGTGTGGGGTACAGTCTGGACCACACCCACAACCAGTGCAAGCTGATCACAGGTTCAGGCAACTTGTTATGGCTTTTCTTTTAGCAGTGTTATGTAACCTATTGTTAAGAACAATAAATCATATCCCTAATTCCATTTTAATGTACTACTACTAAATGCAGAATCCATTGTACGATTCCGACTATGTCATGAGAATGCGATTATGCACAGGACAATTTGTGAAAAATGAAAGCAAATGCCGTCTGAAGTTTACTGAGAAAACAATATGTGAAATGTGAAGCAGGAATCCCTATGGGCACCAATAGTGCTCCCTTTTCTGGCGGATCTGTTTCTTCATGCATATGGGGGGCACGGGTGGCCAAGTCGCCTCAGGCGCCGCGGTTCGCTGTGCAGAGTTGCGTCCCTTGGGCACGCCAGAAACCTATGATTGTGGGTTCGAATCCCGGTTCGCCCCGATTGTGTTTCTAGGTTTATCAGCACCATACCCGTGCTCGTGGGTTTCACTGAAGTGGTAAACGTCTGAGACCTGCACCCCTTCGGACTTCCCTCCCACATTAATCTGTAATACAGTTAAAAGCACTCATTTTATGCACATGAATCGGCGGAATTTCTGTTGTGATTGGCAAAGTCAAAACAAGGTCTTTTGGCCAAGAAGTTTAACTTCAGCTTCAGGTATATTGATGATCTCATATCGTTCAATAACAATCAAATAGCCAATTCCCTTCCACTGATTTACCCACCTGAACTAGAAACAAAGGAGACCAGTGAGAACGCCTCATCTGTTTCATATTTATTATTATGCATTAAGATTCAGGGTGATGAAATATTCTCCACATAACTGTATTATAAGAGGGGTGACTTTCTAGTCAACTTTCCCTACATGTGGAGCAATATTCCAGGGTATCAACCCTTTGGTGTTTACTTTACAGAACGACACATAGCATTTACATATAGTGGGTATCGACCGCATTCCCCATACACAAAAGCATTTGGTGTTTGCAAACCAACTTTAAGAAACTTCTTACAAGCCATGATATGCACTTGTTCTATTTTTTCAAATCTGTCTACATCACATATTTCCACACCATATAAAAGAAGAGGTACAGGGATGTAAAAGAAGATGTACAGGGATAATATTATGTTCTTAGCTTTGTCCTATATGGAGTGTAAACCTTTATCCGACCTTGGTTCTCGGACCTTCAATACTCTGTATATCCGTTTGTCAACATTTCTGTCCTCGATGAGTGAGTTGGGTTATACACTGCTTTGAACAGTGTTCCAGTTACATCTCATCGTGTCAGCTTAATGGGTCGAAAGCCAAAAGTGATGCAGGTCTCAGATGTTTACCACTTTGGTGAAACCCATGAGCTTGGGTACAGTTCTGACTAACCTAGAAACATCTCGAACCGGGATTCGAACCCCCGTTCCTAGCTCCAGCATGCCCAAGGGCGCAACGCTGCACAGCGAATTACAGCGCCTTAGACGACTTGGCCTCCCTGTCCCCACAAACTAGGAGCTGTCTGGCAAGCATTATGCAAATGATAATGACATCCTTTCCGTTGTGGACTTTTTGCACCACCAGCAGGAAATCTTCTACCCCAGTGGGATTCAGGCACTCCAGTATATTTGGTTATCAGTGTCTAGATGTCTGGGGAGGGTTATTTTGAAAAAGCAACTAACTCCATCAAAGCAGTTCATCAAAGTTAGGCTCAGAACTTTAAGCCACCCCATGTATATGACTGTACTTGCGAACTAAGTAAAATTAATGTCATGGACAATTTTGTCACCAGGTATGAGATTATCTTGATCTAAATAGGAAAGTCATATGTTGAGGTCTTTAAAAGATACAAAGTTCCGGATATATATAAAAAAAATACAGATGGGATTGTGCTGAGCATTTTCAAGGTGTAAAATAATAGAACCTGCCTGGGTTCCATACAATTCGACACTCGATATATTCTCATAACTGGATGTAGTACATGTCATAATTTATTTGTGAGACATTCAGATAAGGAAAATTCATAATAGGGATTCGAACACACAATGCCATTAAGAAAGTGGTCAAATGTAACAAATGTTATATTTGGGATGACACTTTCTTAGTAAAGTTTAGATTCTCGTACTTTAGGGGGTTGAGTCCCGTCCGGGATTCAAACCCACACTGCCACAGTGAGGCACCTTTTCGCCAGTACAGAAAGTAAGTGGTCTAACCCACACAGCCACTAAGGCTTCCTCAAAAATGGGAAAGTCCGACAACTGGTAGTCAGGATCACATACTTTGTGTACCCCTCTGACAAGTGTAAATTTCCTCGGCTCCCATGGCTGAAAGCTATGAACACACAATGCCACTTAGAAAGTGGTCAAATGTAACAAATATTATATTTGGGATTACAATTTCTTAGTAAAGTTCAGATTCTCGTACTTCTTGGGGTTTTTTTACGACAAGCATGGGTTGCTGAAGATTTATTCTACCCCGGATCTTCACGGGTCCCACAACAAGGTGCAAAACAGCAGACTACTTTTAAATGTGTGTTTCATCCAAGGGATCACCTGGTATGGCACAAGCATACCTATCAGGGGTACTAACTCTGGAGGCAACCATTACCAGCGGGACTGCAACTGGTAGGGCACCGACTGAGGTCACTCACATGTCCGCTCCATTAAATGCAACACTAAGAAAGCTTTTGCCATAATCACCCTCCTGTTTATGACTTAAATTGCACAGCCCATAATAAAGAGCCCCTACTTTGGTGCCTAAAGTTCTTGTGATGTGATGTCAATCACAGGCGGATCACCAAACACCAGCATGCACATTATTAGAGAAATGGGAGAATAGCCTTCAAAACATCAGCCCACATGGACAACCAGTATGATTCTAATTTACAATCTTTTGAAGGCATTTATTCAGCTGGTTCAAACACCACTTCAGTTATCTCACGGCATGACAGCTTGATGTGGGAGGAAAGCTGCAAGTTTAAGGCTCCCCTATGACCCTGAATATCTCGAATCACCCTGAATCGGAAACTTTCGAAATTTGTGGTGATTCGACCAATAATGCATAATTTCGTGGAGAATCGGTACGAAGCAGCTATGACAAATGGCTAATTGGGTTGAAAAATATGAAGAATGCCAAGAATGGGTTGAGAAACATGTACGAATAACTAGATTCATGTACGATCATGCACGACTTGTAAGAATTATCTACAACTAAGTTACGATTATGCCGAATGCAGGTACGAATGCAGGACGATCGCAACAAATAAGACATGACGAATGTGACATATTTACGAATAGTTTGCGAAAATCGGTACTTTTCCTGACACTTCGGCATGTTCTTGGGTCCAGAAAGACTGGCCAACCCATCATTTCCACCATGGAGGTTCAACGGAGAGCACGTGTTGCTCTGGTCCCGGTCCTTGGGGAATCATGTTCTTACTTGATTCGTAGTTGACTCAGGACATTCGTGGCTGTTTCGGGATGTTTTCAGGTTGAGGACAAGAAATTGTGGGAGCCACGAATCGCTAAGAATAGCCAAGAATGCAAAAGAATCGATTACGAGGCCGTTACGGAACATAAATAATTAATAACAAATGAATGATGATAGGGCCACGAAATTGCAATTCGGGGACACATCCACGAGTATCAAATAAGATTCATTTAAGAACTTCAAGAAATGATTGAGATTTTTCTGAGAACATGAAAAATTTCCTATTCCATGTATGGAGCTTACAAACATACAAACATAGTCAGGGAGTACCGAGGTTTGAAAGCAGGATCCAGGAGGCCTAAGTGAAGAGAAAGACTAAGATGTTACATGCATGCAAAAGTAGGTCAAATACTATACTACCAACAAAATATTAGGGAACTAATGAGTTGAATGTAGCTATTGTTGAGGTGAACATGTACAATACCAAGGAATTGCATGTGAATGTAACATCTAATCATAATGAAATTTCACATTATGCATGAATTTGCACCTAATGCCAGAGTGTGTGCGCCTTTAGGGGAGAAGAAATGTCAATATCCAATATTTGGCAAATCAAAAAAGTAGTATCTCGACTGTGGGACACCACAGTCAAAAGGGTGGGGTTGCAACGAGACCTGGCGGTGGCAGGCCCAGAAAAACAAACACCAAGACAAGATCCTAATTCCTTATTGGCGATGTGGCTGTTTCAAACATTATTCTGCTGCAGCAAATGTTGAACTGATCTTGGGGGGTTTGTAACAGTCCTTTCACCACCAGTAGTCGAAGGAGATTGTGGCGTGCGCTATCATTCTACCCACAATTTATCAATCTTCTTATTCCTTGCCTCCTCGATGGTAAGCTTCACAATGGCATATAGTTCTTTGTGGAGATCCTCTATAGTCTTGTCAGCATCGATCCTCTGTAACACCAAGTAACATGGATAAGTTCATAAGAGTCATCCTTTTGGGCAGGTCAGGCCGACTGGTTCACTATCATATCATGTACAGTGAGACCCATTGTACCCTGGATAGCAATATCAGAGTTGTAAAATGAGAGTGGCAGCAAATATTTTGCACTCTCACTCCCATTTTACTCAACAAAATCATCAAAGCAAATTCAAATGTGGCCCTGCAAAGTATGTTACTGTCCATGTCAAAACTAGTAAAATCTAGATATTTCTTATATTTGTACACTTATCCAGCATTACTCGTCTATGTATCGACTGCTTACCTTTTGACAGAGTGAAGCCCTGATTGATCCTGCTGAAGAGAAAAACGAGGTTGTTCCATTCTGAAGCAGAACCCTCTCAATTACTAGCTGCCATGTCATACCGGAAGTGGTTGATGACTTATCTCCATACTTTTGGTCATGTGTCTGTGATGGATGGGCCCTTAGACGTAGTAATGCAGGATAAGTACACAAATATGAGTAAGTGACTTGGGTTTTAACGCCGCTTTTAACATGCCCAAGGGACGTAACTCTGCACAGGGAATCGCAGCGCCTTAGACGACTGGGCCACCCGTGCCCCCCACACAAATATGAGCATATCTGATTAAATGCAATGTTTTTATACTTATCTGTCGCTACACCTAAAGCACTGTGTAACGTCAGGTAAGGTAAAACATAAATAAATTAAAAATATCTAGATTTTACTAGATTTTTTAACTTATCCTGCATTACTCCTTAATGAATGTATTAACTTAAGGAGTAATGCAAGATAAGTTGTACTCAGTAAATTCTGTTTCAAACAAGAAAGGTCATCCATTATTTGTGCAAGGCTTCACCAATACTAAAATTACATTTGTTGTTCTGACAGTAGTCATTACGGACCCCCACTATCAAGCCAGGGACTGCCCCACTATCAAGGCAGGGACTGCCCCACTCCCCCCTCAAAATCATTCTTCAGACACAAGGGCTCATAAAGAGTATAGATCTACATGTCTCGTTTCATCTTACCCAACTAAAAAAAAAGTTGTCACATTGTATAGATACACAGCCTTGTGTTAAATGTGTGATTATTCATAATACTGAGTGGCCATAGGCCTATACTACATGTTATATAGCAATGCGTGTATATACCATCTTCCCAAGGCAAGAGAGTTAACTGACTATAAAAGTCCAGTTTCCACCCTTGCCGAACTAGGCTGGTATTATGGAGTTATATTTTGGCTGGACTAACGAGTCTATGCATAGTCCAATCAAAATCACGCAACGAAATCGAAATCCGTGTCGTGCTGATTTCGGTCGATTGCAGGATTTGCAAAGCATGTGCACCGCCAACTCGTTGTCAACAGATATTTTCCAAATCCTTTCATGATTTTAATCAAGGTGCTCACATAATTTGATGCACTTCACGATGTAAGACCTGTTTTATCACAATATAGATCTTGATTATTGATCCGATCTTCTTGACTGGTTGCCGCCATTTTGTTTGAATCAAATGCAAGTGATACAAGAGGTGGAATCTGATTGGTCAAAAGGAGAGGTTTAGAAGAGACATAACTCGTAATAACCACTGGTGGCGCTACAATCAAGCCAAGGAATTCCAGCCTAGTTCGGCAAGGGTGGAAACTGGACGTTTAAAGTCAGTTAACTCTCCTGCGTCGGGAAGATGTGTTTATACATACCGTAATAAGGTAACACATTTGGAACTTCTTAGCTTCATAGATGCAATATGTACATTGATATTTTTTTCGTTATTACTACATTCTTACCCAACATTAACAAAACAAATTTCTGTAAACTTGGATAACGGATATATTTATCAATGAACTGTTTTCTGAGTTCAGCATACAACAGACAAAGGAGTAAGAAATGGTATCCACTTTCTACAGTGTTTAAATCACAAAACTGGCAAATTCTGTGTTCTCTCACGATCTCCAAATAACCTCCCATCAAGATAAAGAGTTTGTGTGAACCACATCTGAATCTTGCAAGTGCAATTCAAAATGTTTTCTCTATTGCATTTCATAGGTATTGCTCTCCACAGAAGCTGTTTTTAAAGAGGGAATAACGTCATAGTTTCTTGGATACTGATAAGGAAGAATGTCAAGTTTGAATGTACATATCTTTCAGGGTCTGAGTAAAAGCATCCATGAAATGATCTGGTCTGTGTCCTGTTCTGTCCATATGTAACCATTACCACATGGACAAAGCTGATGCTGAACAGAAGATGCCCAGTAAGTGTGTCCTTGTTGGTCATAGAGGAACAGTATGTTATTACATTTCTTTGGATATCTTGTAACAGGCATTTTAACTAATTTAATCCAGTACTTCAACATCTTTACCTTTGCAAACATAGTTTATGGGTATTGTCGACATTCTCCGTAGACAATCAGATAAGACGTACTAGGTTTCACACTAAGGAATCTTTTCCATGCATAAAGATTTACTTTTTCTATAAAATCAATCATTTCTAATCCCTAAACGGCTGCTCCATATACAAAATTGGGCTTATTTTTTTACAGAAAATCTTAAAGAATGTATTATAGGATACATTTCCAAGAACTTTCATATGTTGAAGAATTACAATTAGGATCTTCTTAGCTTGTACAGCAGCTTGATTAGCATGCATCTTCCATGACAATCTATTTGTAAATTATACACATAAGTACTTATAAAATGATACAACATCTAATGAATGTCCATTTCACTTTTCCAGCTAGTGTACCACCATTTTTGAAAACAATAACTTTTGTCTTATTCTTGTTGACATAAATTCCTTTCTTGCAAAAACATTCCAGCTGATTAATTTGCTTTTGTAGTCCAAGTATTGTGCTTGAAAAAATTACTATGTCATCTGCAAACAAAAGAAAAAATAACTTTATAGGTTCCGGATGAAGTTAGACGCCATGAGAACAGTTCTTCTGAATTTGTTGAGCTACTTCATTGATAAAGATGGAGAATAAAAACCAACTTAAAATGCACCCTTGCTTTACGCCAATATTGTTTTCAAATATGTCAGACACAATACCATTATTTCACACACAAACCTTTACATTAAAACAAAGGAAATTGAAGCTAAACAAGGCAAAAAGTGAGCAGGGCTCACTAACATCCCTGACTCGACTCCAACATCAGCTGAAGAACAATTATGATGTTGGAGATATATATTGATGCCTTAACGTTTGAGCCGGTTTCCAAATTGCAGAAACTACGGGTGATATCCCCCACATCTTCCTGAGGTAAGGAAGTAAACTGACTGTAAAAATTCAGTTCCCACCCTTGCCTTCTAGGCTGGAATTTCATGGCACCACCAGTGGCGGTTACAAGTTATGTCCCTTTTACGTCCCTCCTATTGACCAGATTCCACCTCTCCTTTCACTTGCATTTTCTTCAAACAAAATGGCAGCATCAGTATCATCTGTGGTAACTCCATCAGACATGATCATCTGTCATTTTCAGCTGTGGTAACTCCATCAGACATGATCATCTATCATTGTCATCTGTGGTTACTCCATCAGACATGATCATCTATCATTGTCATCTGTGGTTACTCCATCAGACATGATCATCTATCATTGTCATCTGTGGTTACTCCATCAGACATGATCATCTATCATTGTCATCTGTGGTTACTCCATCAGACATGATTGTCTATCATTTCCATCTTTGGTTTATCCATCAGACATGATTGTCTGTCAGGGCTCTGTGAGTGTCATCAGTGGTTACTCCATCAGGCATGATTGTCTGTCAGGGCTCTGTGAGTGTCATCAGTGGTTACTCCATCAGACATGATTGTCTGTCAGGGCTCTGTGAGTGTCATCTGTGGTTTATCCATCAGACATGATTGTCTGTCAGGGCTCTGTGAGTGTCATCAGTGGTTACTCCATCAGACATGATTGTCTGTCAGGGCTCTGTGAGTGTCATCTGTGGTTACTCCATCAGACATGATTGTCTGTCAGGGCTCTGTGAGTGTCATCTTTGGTTTATCCATCAGACATGATTGTCTGTCAGGGCTCTGTGAGTGTCATCAGTGGTTACTCCATCAGACATGATTGTCTGTCAGGGCTCTGTGAGTGTCATCAGTGGTTACTCCATCAGACATGATTGTCTGTCAGGGCTCTGTGAGTGTCATCTTTGGTTTATCCATCAGACATGATTGTCTGTCAGGGCTCTGTGAGTGTCATCAGTGGTTACTCCATCAGACATGATTGTCTGTCAGGGCTCTGTGAGTGTCATCAGTGGTTACTCCATCAGACATGATTGTCTGTCAGGGCTCTGTGAGTGTCATCAGTGGTTACTCCATCAGACATGATTGTCTGTCAGGGCTCTGTGAGTGTCATCAGTGGTTACTCCATCAGACATGATTGTCTGTCAGGGCTCTGTGAGTGTCATCAGTGGTTACTCCATCAGGCATGATTGTCTGTCAGGGCTCTGTGAGTGTCATCAGTGGTTACTCCATCAGACATGATTGTCTGTCAGGGCTCTGTGAGTGTCATCAGTGGTTACTCCATCAGGCATGATTGTCTGTCAGGGCTCTGTGAGTGTCATCAGTGGTTACTCCATCAGACATGATTGTCTGTCAGGGCTCTGTGAGTGTCATCAGTGGTTACTCTATCAGACATGATTGTCTGTCAGGGCTCTGTGAGTGTCATCAGTGGTTACTCTATCACACATGATTGTCTGTCAGGGCTCTGTGAGTGTCATCAGTGGTTACTCTATCAGACATGATTGTCTGTCAGGGCTCTGTGAGTGTCATCAGTGGTTACTCCATCAGACATGATTGTCTGTCAGGGCTCTGTGAGTGTCATCAGTGGTTACTCCATCAGACATGATTGTCTGTCAGGGCTCTGTGAGTGTCATCAGTGGTTACTCCATCAGACATGATTGTCTGTCAGGGCTCTGTGAGTGTCATCAGTGGTTACTCCATCAGACATGATTGTCTGTCAGGGCTCTGTGAGTGTCATCAGTGGTTACTCCATCAGACATGATTGTCTGTCAGGGCTCTGTGAGTGTCATCAGTGGTTACTCTATCAGACATGATTGTCTGTCAGGGCTCTGTGAGTGTCATCAGTGGTTACTCCATCAGACATGATTGTCTGTCAGGGCTCTGTGAGTGTCATCAGTGGTTACTCCATCAGACATGATTATCTGTCAGGGCTCTGTGAGTGTCATCAGTGGTTACTCCATCAGACATGATTGTCTGTCAGGGCTCTTTGAGTGTCATCAGTGGTACATTACACAAATTGCAACAGGGAGTATGTTCAACCAATCGTAATACACTTACTTGCCAAGTTTCATCTTGCAATTTTTCAAAGTTTTCGGCAACCCTTTTCTGAAAGTCCTCCTGTTCGTATCTCTCTCCCCCGAATCCAGCACGCTTCCCTGCAGCTTCTGAGGTTAAGGTCATGTACAGTACCTTGTCTGGGCTGGGGAGACCAATGTCTGGCTGCTTGCACCAGTCTAAGGTAAAACCCTGACAAGGAAAAAACACCACTAGAATATCTATGTAGTGGTCACTGAATGAGCACAACATGATCAACCAAAACCATGTATACAGAGATGCCAACCCTAACTGAAGTTTTAGGGGAATCAGTGGGGTAAAACAGCGTAACTTCATGTGAAAAATAGGAATGTTAACAGCACAATGCCATTATGCTGGTGATCGCTTTGACATTTTCGCTGGGCCTATATGTATGTGAAGCGTGGGTACACATGCATTTACGCTAGTAATGTAGCCTCACTATTTAAAAACAGGGCAATGGAGCTCAAAATAATCTGAAAAAATAACTCCGCTTGTGTTGTATGGTTAAATATGACTGATTGAATATCAATTCAAACAGCGAAAAAAATGGACATGAATGAAAAGTCTAAATGTTGATCTGAAAGCAAGCATCATTCAGCAGCATTCTATTTCATAATGTTGTTCATTAACATTAGCATCATTAATGAATACCTTTTTGGCTGCTGTGAAAGCCACACCAGAGAATGCATATCTGTCAACTATCAAGGTTGTGCCTCCATTCAACAATTGGTTGATGTCTTTTCTGAAAAAAAATAAAACACTCCACATCACATGTGGGACCTCCAACATTTGGTTGTAAATATAGTGTAGCCTCGAATTTTGTGAAATATACATTCAAACCATGAATTTGGAAATTACTCGATTCTGATTGGTCAATCAGAGGCTATTAAATCACAATAAACCCCCTCTAATTGAAAGGGCTGGTTTGACAGCCACATCACCGCGGAAGCTAATATTCATAGAATAGCACTTTTTTCAGTCATTGTCGGTAGGCGTATTTAAATAATTAAACCTACAATTATAGGTTACAAAATACATTTCCTGCAGAAAATATGATAGAAATCAACAAAGAGAATGTATTTTAAGTTTTGGGGACAACAGAGAGCTTGAAATTTGGCGCTTTTTTAAATAAGGCTGTGACTACATATCTTTTGCGTCGCAATGAGTGATATGACATCATAAATTTGATGTGTGGTGTAGAATGAACATTTTGCAAAGCTTGAAGGCTGTTGTCAGTGAATCCGTAATTCACATCAACAACCAACTCAAATCACCAGACTCAACCCATGCCGCTTCACTCAATGTATTTGCTAGCACCAAAGAGTTCGCGTTTTATTTAGTCATGGTAGAATGGAGATAAACATATTGTGTTTCATTGAAGAGCTAGGTTACCTATAGATTTAACATTTGAAAAATCACGGTGTGCATTCGGTTCCAATTCAATTCAGCACGGTTAAATCTACAGGTAACCTAGCTCTACATTGAACACACAGTATGTTCATCTCCTAAGTGCACTAAGCTTGTTCATATGTACAGTCTTCACCCAGTTCATTTGTGTATAATTTTTTAATTTGAAGTTTACACGATATACAGCTTTTCCATTGGACGAGAGGTCGGTCACATGACCGCGAAATTGACGTTCATAAGTGTATGAACGACACAATTTTACGTTCATATGTTTTTCACGAGACCGTGTTCTTGAAATGACGTAAACACTGACGGACTACTTCCACATTCCTGGGGAAACCCCTGGGAATTCCCTAGCACGAAAACATACATAAGCGTTCTTTCTGATCATTTAGAACCTTTATTCTTTCAGTATACATTGAAAAATGTCAGAGAGCGTGACTGCATGATTGTTCACGAATATCCACGCTACGGCCCATCCTAATGAACAAACGAAGAAATGCACATCTAAACTATCTTAGTATCGACTCGATCCGTGCCTAGGCTGACATTGACCGTCTCCAGCAATCTATGAATTTACCTTAGTGTTTGACGCATCTTTATTCACCTTTCAATGATCGGCCAGTTGATCAATGATGACTAACACATGTAACCGCCACAGTTTCATTAACAACTTCGGAAATCTCTCCCGTCACGTTTATCGCGTCGGCCATTTTGACGTCTTGTACTTGATGTAAATGTATTACGACGCGCTGTCATTGTGACTGACTTACTGAGGTAGTTCTTTACAGACCTTTCTCATCTAATGAGGATATGATTTCAACACATGTGCGGCGTAAGATGTTTCTGAAGAGCAAGTTGTGCATCCAAACGCCCATGTCACCTCTCTTTTTGAGGAACTATTTTACTCCGCGATATAGCTGGATGTTGTATGGCTGTCAGTGTAAACATGAAGTCACGCGTACTAAATAAAATTGCGTTTAGATCTTGGCCTACATCCTTTGAGGTAAGAAATTGTGATAAAAAAAATATAAGAATTGACTTTCACTTTGTGTGAGTTCATTGGAGTATGAACCTTCATAGAGTGAGGGCCAAACATTGTATGAACGTCGTCGCAAGCTCCGATGTTCATACAGTTTGGCCCTCACTCTATGAAGGTTCATACTCCAATGAACTCACACAAAGTGAAGATCAATTCTTAAAAAAGTACATTTGGCACTGGTTCCATTTGCCTTTTCTGAAAATATGATTTCAGGGCTCGATTTAAGGAACTTGATTTAACCTGCTTCAGGTGCATGTTGACATGAAAAGCTGGTTGCACCAGACTAACCAGGTTGCACCCTGGTCCCATCAATTTACCAAACTTCAAAAATAGATGAATAAACTAGTCTTTTAGACTAAAATGACAGATCTCCGATGACTGTGTTACATGTCAAGAAATGGACACAACACAGTGATTAGTGATATAGTATATGGTCAATAAAACTTAGAGGAACTGAGTGTGTTCTGAGACCAACAAATTTCAATTTCTTTTACATGCGCTTGGTGCATGTGGACATAAATATTAAGTTGCATTTTTCATAAATAGGTTGCACTGGGGTATGTTTTATATGGATAAATCGAGCCCTGATTTCTCTGTGCTCCCTTCAGGCAACTTTCGTTGCCCTGCCATCATAATGTTAACCATACCACTGACACTCTATATTAAATGAAAGCACTGTTAAACCCTGCTGCAGCATCAGCAACATCACATGATGGCTGTAGGTAGTTATGTTCAGTTCAAAGAGGCACTATTTGCAATATGATATGCAAACTGTATTCGTTCAATCATTCCTTTGATTTGTAAATAAACATAACCACACATAAACACATTCATCACCGAGCTGACCAGTCCTTGTTTTATCCCCTTAATGCTGGTGCTAGCCAACTGAGATACCATGCCTCAGTTTAACATGGATACGACACACAGACACAGATACAGTATACTGAATCCGAGCTGACCAGTCCTTGTTTTATCACTGTAAATGCCGAGCACCAAGCAGGGAAACAACAAGTATCTTAATATGAACCTGCTTGGGATTGAGCTAGGCTGGCTCTATCTGCTAAGCCACGGGGGAAGGCTCTATCCGCTAGACCACGGAGGCAGTCAACATTTTTTTCAGTTTTTTAATAAGAAAGTACAAAAACCAATAATCACAATTACACACACTCCCATCTCAAACATGTCTGAATGTGGTGGGGACTTACACACACTCCTATCTCAAACATGTCTGAATGTGGTGGGGACTTACACACACTCCTATCTCAAACATGTCTGAATGTGGTGGGGACTTACACACACTCCTATCTCAAACATGTCTGAATGTGGTGAGGACTTACACACACTCCCATCTCAAACATGTCTGAATGTGGTGGGGACTTACACACACTCCCATCTCAAACATGTCTGAATGTGGTGAGGACTTACACACACTCCCATCTCAAACATGTCTGAATGTGGTTGGGACTTACACAGCCTCCCATCTCAAACATGTCTGAATGTGGTGAGGACTTACACACACTCCCATCTCAAACATGTCTGAATGTGGTGGGGACTTACACACACTCCCATCTCAAACATGTCTGAATGTGGTGGGGACTTACACACACTCCCATCTCAAACATGTCTGAATGTGGTGAGGACTTACACACACTCCCATCTCAAACATGTCTGAATGTGGTAGGGACTTACACACACTCCCATCTCAAACATGTCTGAATGTGATGAGGACTTACACACACTCCCATCTCAAACATGTCTGAATGTGGTGGGGACTTACACACACTCCCATCTCAAACATGTCTGAATGTGGTGGGGACTTACACACACTCCCATCTCAAACATGTCTGAATGTGGTGAGGACTTACACACACTCCCATCTCAAACATGTCTGAATGTGGTGAGGACTTACACACACTCCCATCTCAAACATGTCTGAATGTGGTGGGGACTTACACACACTCCTATCTCAAACATGTCTGAATGTGGTTGGGACTTACACATTCTCCTATCTCAAACATGTCTGAATGTGGTGAGGACTTACACACACTCCCATCTCAAACATGTCTGAATGTGGTTGGGACTTACACACACTCGCATCTCAAACATGTCTGAATGTGGTGGGGACTTACACACACTCCTATCTCAAACATGTCTGAATGTGGTTGGGACTTACACATTCTCCTATCTCAAACATGTCTGAATGTGGTGAGGACTTACACACACTCCCATCTCAAACATGTCTGAATGTGGTTGGGACTTACACACACTCGCATCTCAAACATGTCTGAATGTGGTGGGGACTTACACACACTCCTATCTCAAACATGTCTGAATGTGGTTGGGACTTACACATTCTCCTATCTCAAACATGTCTGAATGTGGTGAGGACTTACACACACTCCCATCTCAAACATGTCTGAATGTGGTGAGGACTTACACACACTCCCATCTCAAACATGTCTGAATGTGGTTGGGACTTACACATTCCCCTATCTCAAACATGTCTGAATGTGGTGAGGACTTACACACACTCCCATCTCAAACATGTCTGAATGTGGTGAGGACTTACACACACTCCCATCTCAAACATGTCTGAATGTGGTTGGGACTTACACATTCTCCTATCTCAAACATGTCTGAATGTGGTGAGGACTTACACATCCTCCTATCTCAAACATGTCTGAATGTGGTTGGGACTTACACATTCTCCTATCTCAAACATGTCTGAATGTGGTGAGGACTTACACATTCTCCTATCTCAAACATGTCTGAATGTGGTGGGGACTTACACACACTCCCATCTCAAACATGTCTGAATGTGGTGAGGACTTACACATTCCCCTATCTCAAACATGTCTGAATGTGGTGAGGACTTACACACACTCCCATCTCAAACATGTCTGAATGTAGTGAGGACTTACACACACTCCCATCTCAAATATGTCTGAATGTGGTTGGGACTTACACATTCTCCTATCTCAAACATGTCTGAATGTGGTGAGGACTTACACACCCTCCTATCTCAAACATGTCTGAATGTGGTTGGGACTTACACATTCTCCTATCTCAAACATGTCTGAATGTGGTGAGGACTTACACATTCTCCTATCTCAAACATGTCTGAATGTGGTGGGGACTTACACATTCTCCTATCTCAAACATGTCTGAATGTGGTGAGGACTTACACACACTCCCATCTCAAACATGTCTGAATGTGGTTGGGACTTACACACACTCGCATCTCAAACATGTCTGAATGTGGTGGGGACTTACACACACTCCTATCTCAAACA